AATTAGGAAAGGAAGGAAGAAAGAAAGAAAAGAAAACCAATAATACTTCTCAAAAAGGTTTAGAATTACTTGAACATCATACCGGAACTTGGAAATAGAAGAGCTGACAGCTATTTAACAGGGTACCACATTGGCTGTGTGATTTACTGACAGACACATTTTATAATAATGCAGTTCAGAACAAGAGTACCAAGGACATAGCATCCCTTTCTATTATGTCAACTGCTCTGGTTTTAATTTGTTGAGGATAAAGCCTTGAAGTGAACATTATCTTCCCCCCTGCCAAGCTATTCTGGTGCCTGTGACTTTCTAGCAGGGCACTTTGCTCTGATGATATTTTATTTCTGGCACCCACTTAAGTCTATTCACAAATGTATAGCCCCCTTTACTCAAAAATCTCTGAGCAGAATGGAGCCTTACAAATTCAATTTTTTTTATTTTTTTCTTCTAGCTAGAGGATTACACTAAGAAAATTAATTTTGAGTGTCATTAAAAGGACATTTTCTATGCCCCAGAGGTGCCACCTTAGGTGACCTGACCAAACTAACTGGCCTTGCCAGTACTTTAGCAATCTCTCCTTTCTCTGCCCATGAAATCATTTTCTGATTCCAGTGATACTCCACTTTCCCCTGACATTCCCACATTCTCATTAAAGCATACAAACTCCCTGCTAGCTAAATCCTTGGCATCTGGGACTGTTGTATGTATGACACTCTCTTAAAGCAGTTTTTAAAGCTGGGCATAGTGGGGCATGCCTTTGATCCCAGGCAGAGCCAAGTGGATCTCTTTGCATTTGTGGCCAGCTTGGCTATACAGTGAGTTCTAGGACAGTAAGAGCTACACAGAGAAACCTGTCTTAAAAAGCAAGCAAGCAAGCAAGCAAGCAAGTAAGCAAGCAAACAAGCAAGCAAGCAAGCAAGCAAGCAAGCAAGCAGGCAAACAGGCAAACAGGCAAACAGATCAGTTCTTATGAGTGGCTGATTTAGCAAGAAACTAACAGTTCATCTGAGTAAGTTTCTCTCTTCTTTTGGCTATCCTTATATGTAAAATCCAAAACACGGGGTTCCGAGCACTGATTCCTTTGTGCAAGAGGCATTCACATAAATAGATGATGGGATACAATACCATCCCTGCTAACTAAATTATTTAGCACAGTAAGGAGGTTTCTAGGGCAAATCAGTTCAAATACATCAATTTCAGAGGCTACATCTTGTGGTTTTCCAAAGTCTACATAACTTAATATGAAAAATGTTTGCTATAAATTTTGTAAACATCTTAGGTTTTCCTTAAAGGACAGATGTGACAGCTGAGATTACAATGTTTAAGTAGTTCTCTTAGAAACAAAGGAGAAAATGAACAAAGCCAAAACTGCATTTTAAGTTCTAGAAAGGGCTACTTAAACTCCTCCACCTAAAAAGACAAACAGTGCGACTATGGGAATGGTCCAGTGAGGAATGGGATCACACACAAGCAGGAGGCCTGGGTTAGGATCCTAGCACCCACAGAAGAGCTCGGAGGCAAGGAAGGATGTATGGAAAAGCATACAGAAGCTTAGTAGTTTATAAGCCAATTTAAAAATTAAAGTTGGAGACTAAATTAGATATCTTGCATTTTTGGATAATGCTGGTCCCAAGAACCAAGGGCTGCCAAATGAAAATCCCAGTGCCAGGCATGAGTGAGATACTTCCTTGTGAGCTGTATTCCTCTTGCTATTCCTTTGGGTTCCCTACCAGAACTAGTTGGCAATAAGACCTTATTGCTGAAGATAACATACATTTTGTTTGGTTGCAAGGTGAATAAAAATCAAACTACAACTCAGTTGGAAGCATATCCTTGCTGTCTAGCTTTCATAAAGCTGAAAGTGTTATACCAGTTGTTGGGGGGAGAAAAGGCATCTTACCGAGCTGTGAGCCCTACAATTTACAACACCAACTTGCCAGGCAAGATATGTGCACAGTTGCACTAGTGGTATCACTGTAATAGGAGTACCAACTACTCTCTGCTTGGATTCCAAACTCAGTTCAAAAGAGGGAATTCATATCTGGCACTGTAAACCCAGTTACAACCCCAAGACTATGGAGGACTTAGGCCCTAGAGTTGACACTAGTTTAGCTAACTGTCACAGTGCCATGCTGTCTTCTAAATATTTACATTTATACCCATAGATAAACACTATTCTGCTGCCCCATCCTTAATCTCAGAAGCTTCTTTCTGCAATGAAATGAACTGGGGTAGGGGGAGGGGGATGTAAATACAGAACAGATGGCTGTTCAAAGGCAAGAACTAGGGATGACTGAATGCTTGCTCCTACACAGACATCTATGTGGATGTGGATGGATGTAAAGAGACTGATGACGAGGGGAAGGGCAGTAAATGCTGTCTTCCAAACAGGACACAGCTAACGCAGAATTTCACAGGTGTGGCTGCCTACAAGGAACCTACTGATAGTCAATCATGGACGGGGAGAGGCTCACAGTCCTACCTCCACTTCTGGGTACTGATAGACTGTCAATCACACCCTCTTCAGAAGTGTTCCCACTGAGGAGCCCACCAAGCTCCAAAGGCTACTTTCAAGTGTACTGCCATACAGGTGATCCTGGAATTCAGTGGATCTACAAACAATCAAACAAAACGTTTGAAAAAGTCAAGGATGTCAGAAAAGGACTTGTAGAGAGGAGAGATAATAGGAAAGAGAAAAAGAGAGCCATAGTGATCAGAGTGTGCTGTATTCCAAGTGTATGAAACTCAATAAAGAACAAACTCGATAAAAATTATTAAAAAGAAAGAAAGACAGATCAGAGGTCAGGATGAGGGGCTCAACCTGAGTGGCAAGAATTCAGACTGCATTGACAGGCATTTAGCAAATTGGTCACATTTCAAAATGAAAAGGAAAAACCAGAAATGTTGAAACAAAAACCCAAAAGAAACAACCAACCACAAACAACACATACTCAGCATGCTGAAGCAGAAGGGTCTAAAGTCAAGACCAGTTGGGGTTAGCTAGCACAGTAAGAGCCTATATTATAAAGAAGTGTATGTGTGTGTGGGGATACTTCTTGGTGTTGACTCTAACCAATAAATGACAGTATAACTTCTTTAAAAATAGACTTTTAAAAGAGTACCTGAAATTACCAGGGTCCTTAGCTACAAACTCGAAATGAAGAAAGAAAAGGGGTGAGAATGTGGGGCTGTGAAAGTCAATTTTTCAATTAACAAAATCACATGTGAGGAATTTAACAGCCTAAGGAGCAGAGTGTTAGCATGGGACTGAAAACCAGAGTATCTGCCCCTACTCTAAGCTCACACTTGCTACCCTGGTGTCTCAGCAACTGGGTCAACATTGTGGTGAGACTGAGTGGGAGCGTCAGGTTGATGGAAGGGAGGTTGCAGGCTGTCTTGTTACTGCATGTTTCAGAAAGGATACAGCACTGGCGTGATTTATACCCACGAACACTGCTACGCAGCGCATGACACTGGACCACTCTCTCTTAAATTTATGTGGTTCTCCTAGATGCCTGTCAATGCAGGGGTACAATAGTCCAATCACAGCTGTGAAAAGAATAAAAAAAAAAGTAAGTCAGTAATACTGCACAGGCAGCAATTAAGTTTCACAAATCCCTACAGCTACTGCTTTCTAGATTCTTCCAAAAAGAAAAGAAGTGACTGACTACCATTGCATCTTTAAACTTACCTTCCAAGGAAACCAGGAGTGGCAGTGCACTGCAGACAGCTGTGGTGAAGCCACAGCACACACACTGGGGAGTGACTCACAAGGAGCCAGAGACACTAACTCATGTAGCTCCTAACAGTACCTTAGAAACTTGAAAGCACCAAGTCAATCCACAGTATGTTCTCCTCAATCAACACGGTACTTAAATATGCTATAAACACATGGGATCTAAAGAGAAGCTAGAGGGTAGGCCTTGAGCTCATACAACCTTGTCCCCCCTACACTAGGCTCCCTATGTCCTGACCATCCTGTTATGCAGATCAGCCCTGCCACATCAGCTTCCTGTCTGCACCCAGCTCTCTCCTCCTCTGCTTTCCACCTCATCTTCTCGAAGCTCCTCTCTGAAAACAAAAGGCTACAGGTACAATTCGGTCTACACACAGAAAGAAGAAAGAATTACAAATTTGCTAGGTACGGCAGTGCGCACCTTTATTCCTAGCATTGGAGGAAAAAGCAGGCAGATCTCTGAGTTCAAAGTCAGCTTAGTCTACTCAACACATAGTCAGATCACTGTTTTAAAAACAAATGAAAATCCTACAAATTTACAAATAATATGTAAGTTTGCTGTTAAAAGGTAAGAAGATGCCATCTCAGGGGACAGCTCTTGGTTTGAGAATCAATATTCTTGACCACCAAGAGTTCCATGACTAAGACCTAAACTATTCTGACTCTCCCTAACTTAAATACTTAACAAAGACATGAAATTTCTGTGTATATCTTGTGCATGTGTTCCCAGAGCCATGTAGAGGCCAAAGAACAAGCTAGGGTGTCACTGGTCAGCCACCACCCACTGTGTTGCCTGAGATTGGATTTCTCGATGACCTGGAACTCACCCAGTCAGCTTGGTTAGCAATCCAGTAAAGCCCCAGAGACCTAGAAGCATCCATCTCTTCTGCACTGGATTACACACAGGCACCCCCTTGCCTAGCTTTTTTCTTTTTCCCTCTTACCCTTCCCCCCTTCCTTTCCTTTCTTTTGTTTTGAATGTGAGTTCTGAGGGGTCAAAACAATGCTAACAGGGACCTATCTCAAGCCCACAAGAAAATTTATTGATTTGCTAAAAATTATTTGTTAAAGTTTTGTCTATATATGCATGTGTGCCTGCTAGTATGTGCATGTGCATTTGGGTGCCCATGGAGGCTAGAAGACACAGGATCCCCAGGATTACAGGAGGTGGTGAGCCACCCAATATAGGTGCTAAGAAACAAACTTAGGTCAGGTCCTCTAAAAGAACATTAAACACTCTTAACTGTTGCACCATCTCTCCACAAAAATATACATCCTTTTAAATTTTAAATATTAAATTTAAAGGGTAAAGAAGAAAACAAAAATTGGAAAGCAACTAGTATTACAAACTCCAGGCATGTAGAGCAATGGAACAGTGTGGGGAAGAGACAACCTGGCTACTTCCACCTAGACATGAGACTGGAGCTCTGCATTTTTTTTCACCTTAGCTTTGGTGACTATAGATGGCTCACAGGCCATCATCCTGAGACCAGTGACAAATCACAGCAACACAGAGATCCCATGGCTGCTAAAATTTCTAAGTTTCAGGGTCTGGGTGACGGCTCAGTTTGTGAAATGCTTGCCTTGCAAGCCCAAGGAACTGAGTGTAAACTGAAACAAGAAAACCTAAGGTGGACTGTGTCTGAGGAGGGACAACCGAGGGCATCCTCTGGCCTCTATAAACATACATGAAGAAACACATGCACACACACAAAGAAATCCCTCATTATGGTCCTGTTTAAAACACACTACTGAAAAATCCCATTGGTTTAAGTGACAGCATTTCAAATTTCTACATGATTAAAATGACAAGCATGCCTAATAATTGAAACATGTCTAAATGGTATTTTTTCCTCAAGGGGTGTCACAAAACAGCTCATTTGTCATTCCCTGGTTCTCTGTATAATAAATGCATACACATACATAGATGCATACTTACAGTGATACACCTATCTACCTCTCACCTGTCTGTCTGTCATCTACCATCCACCATCTACTATCTATCTATTATTGTTCATTATCTATCTATATATCAATTAATTTATCCTCAACCCCCTGCCAGCTTTCTCCTGTTTGCCTGTGCCAGAGTAAAAATTCAACCAGAGCAGCCATTCCAAGTCAACTGAAACATGTCTAAATGGTATTTTTTGCTCAGCAGCTGATGCCATTGGTAAAGAATTATCACGTAGAGATGCTGACATGTATGTGCAAAGGTGTAAATAAGTAAAACTGACTACATTTCTGTGCAAGTAAGAGACAACTGAGAAGAGAAAGTGAAAACACAAAGAAGGAATTTAAATGGCTATGCTGCCAACCTTGGGATTTGCCAATAAAAAAAACCCCAAATCTGTTGAGTATGCATGGTGCTCAGCTGCTCACTGAGAGGGAGAATTTGGGGAAGCCTGTCACTTCCCATTAAATGTCTTTCTTTCTTTCCTTTAAATAAAGGCATGGCAGAGCCTGATAGGAATATACACAGCGCAGTGAGGCTCCACTGTCTGAGAGCTCAGTGGAGTATGTCTGGGCTTCCTCTTCTCTCTCTGCACCATTTTTTTTTTTTAAACAAGAGACTTAAAATCATGCTGTGTAAAATCATATGCAAATGCAATCCTGCTTAATCAGATGGTTCTCTGATGTAAAATCACATGTCTTCTGATATCTTTAAGTGATTCCCAGTAACAGTCTGCCAAGAGAGAAGACAAAGGAGTTTGTGAAGCACTGGTAGTAAGCCATCACTCTCTCAGGGTGCTGCGCTCAGTGCAGTGAGGCAGGAAAAGGAACACAGTTAAATTAGACATCTAGCAACGAGGGAGCCTGAAGAAAATCACAGCACTCAGCAAGACACACTTCCATGGGAGACTACAACAGGAGCAGGTCATGATTTCATTCAGCAAATACTTAAGCCCTATAATGTATCTGGTTCTTGATACTTCCTGGAGATTTAAAGAGGGCTGGGGAGATGGCTGAATTGGTAATGTGCTTGCTGTGTAAGCCCAAGGATCTGAGTCTGATCTTCAGAATCTACTTCACTCACACACACACACACACACACACACACACACACACACACACACCACAACCAGGCATGGTGGTGTATACTTGTAACCCCCCTTGCACTGAGAAGCAAAGACAAGCAGCTTCCTGAGGTTTGCTGGCCAGCCAGCCTGTCCTACTTGGTGAGTTCCATGCCAGTGAAAGACTGTCTCAAAACCAAACAATACCACTACCACCACCAAGATAGAAGGCATCAGAGATGTGACAGTTGAACTTGTCCTTTGACTCATGTGCACAAACAAACACACAGGCGCACATGGACATAGACATGTACACATTAATAAACAAGAACATGGACATAGACATGTACACATTAATAAACAAGAGGATGTGCTTCCATGGCAAGGTGACAGGCACTACTGAATGCTGGATTAAGTACTGACAGGACACTGAGGGGTTCTTACTCTGTTCCTGTACATGAGGAGAGGTAAGGTGTTGGGCTATCTAGAAAGTTTCCATAAAAGAGGGAGGTACCTGAAGGGACTAAGGCACATCCCGAAACAAGTAGCATTACCAGGAAACTGTAAGGTTTGAGCAGGAAGGGAAGCTTGGAGTCCAGAAAGAGTCAGACTATTACAAAATGTCACAAGAAGGCTTTAAACCTGAGAGTGGTAACAAATCAAGAAAACCAGGTCACCACATTCTGCATCAGAGACAATCATTCTTATATCTCAGAGAGTTCAACAGAACATGGGGAAGTGGGGTGGGTCAAAATCAAGGTAGAAAAAAAAATCTCCAAGCCCAGGGGATTGGAGCCAAGACACCAATGGAACAGTATAAACTCTGTAGGCTCACCTTGGACGGTAGGAACTGGTAAGAACAGAGACCTCTCTAGGAAATAGGTGAGAACTGTGTGACTAGCAGGATCCTTTAAATGACCTTCTCAAGCTTGCCTACCTGTGATTTTTGAGGTAACTTCTCTACTTCTTTTACTCACAATACAGAAACTGTCTTTTGAAGAATTTATTCTTTAGAGCTGGTAATGTTAAACCTCCAGTACCAGCACCCAGGAAATAAAAGCAGAATAATCAGAAGTTCAAGGCCAGTCTAACCTACAGAGTGAGTTTGAGGCCATCATGGGATGCATTATTTTATTTCCCACCTATAACAAGACAATAAAAAGGTATCCTTCCTTTATAAAGGCTCCTTGGTGACTCTCCAGCTCTGGTGCACCGTATATACAAAGAAGAGAGTCCATGACAATGCCAGCTTAGGTAAGCTTGTTTAGATCTTTCTGATGAAGACATCACACTCTTTAGTTACAAGGCATGGAGAAACCAAGCTGGTACTGACAGGAAAGCTTCCTCCATGCTGGTTAGCCGGCTGTGAGCCCTGCCCTGCAATGACTGGCATGTAAAGATATGCCCATGAGTGCAATAGTGGCCTGGATGTTACAGGGATCTCCTGCCTAGAATGTCAATCTGACCAAGAGCACAGAGCTGGTGATTGGCCCCAGAGCTGAACCTATTACTATTATTTTGCTAAGTGGACATCCTATCAAGCTACCCTGTAAACCTGCATCACTATGGCCACAGACTAGCACAGCTGTCACTTCTCATTGGAGGTTTCATTGTGCAGTGGATGGCAGTAAACACAAAAAAGAGAAGAGTGTCTGTGGAGTGCTCAGCCACAAATGGCCCCTCATTCCAAGGCTTAGGATCTATCAAAGAAGTCAGGGTAGAGAGACTTTGAGCACCGATGGTTGGGATGACCCTGGTGAGACTATCTTTTGGGCATTACAGGGCTGTTGCACTAATGGCTCACAGCAGCTGTGGCTGCCTGAATATTATGAAGCCTGTCAATAGTCCAGCACAGAGCAGGAAACAGTTTCCCTAGCTGAAGAGCCACTGACAGTTGCGAGAGAACCAGTTTTCTTAAGCATGTGGCCCCAAGCAGGTCAGCCACTATCACTGGATTGTTATATAGGAGCACAAATTGTCCTTGGACTCTGAGATGACAAAAGAGGGGTCAAGAGTGAGGATGTGAAGCTGGGATGAGGGAGGGGAGAAGTCAGGAATAGGAAGTGAATATAACCAAAATGGATTAGATGTGACGGCTATGGGGACACAGGGTTTTAATCTCAGCACTCAGAAGTCGAAGGAAGGTAGATCTCTGAAGAGTTTTAGCCAGCCTGGCCTACATTATGTGTTCCAGGTCAGAGTTACACAGTGGAACCCTATCTCAAAACAAACAAACAAAAAGCAAAATTCCATAGTATGAAATTCTCAAAGAGTTAATACAAATCTTGCATTTACTTGAAATATATACATATGTAAATAACATGACAAGTTGTGTTTATATATTTAGTGTATGTGTGGGGGGTGTAAACTAACAAAGACATAGGGTCCATGAAACTGAAAGAGTGAGGCAGGGCTAGAGGAAGGATAGAGAAGAGGGAAAACAATCATATTTTAATTTAAAAAAATTACAGAAATCCCCCAAAATATCCTCTTAGAAAAATAAAGAAGGAGGCGTAAGAGGAGGAAAAGAAAAAGAAAAAGAAAGGAAAAGGAAGAAAAGAAAGATAAGAGAAAAGGAGACTAATTCACAGAAGCTTGTAAGATTTCCCCAGCAATGCCCCAAGAAGCCACCAGCTTCCTAGGACCATGCTATAGGGACAGGTGACTCCTGTTCCTTTATAGTAAAATGATGAATCTGGAGGCCCTGGTGTGGATAGCTACTAGGTCTAAGAACCTAAGTCAGGAGGATACAGACTAAGCTGCATTTTGAAGGAGGAAAAAGAACTAGCAGCTACTGGGAAACGCTTTCTCTTCTGAGTTTAAGTAAAGGAAAATATAGGCAGATTTGCAGATACAGCAAAGAATAAGTTCTCTCATATATCTGGACTACTTCTTAGAGAATGATAACCCTGGGGAACCAGACAGTCGTGACTTCTCTTAATTTAAGGGCTCCAATAGCTTGACAGGGCTATCTAAGCCATATGGAATCTGACTGCAACAATATCCATCTGTCCGTGTAGCAGGGTTACATCACTGTCCAGCAGGTTTCACAAAATTACTTGATGATATCCCACAAGTCAACCTCAGCTTTGGACAGACACGCCTGCAACCTCTAGCTCTAGGATGTAGGACAAAAGTACCTTTGTTGTGTCGTAAGGTATTCATGTACACTAAGCATACACAGTCAGAATTACAATCATCTTCTCCCACATGGCTATGACTACCTTCTATTACTTGTTATATAAAGCAGAGTTGACCCACTGACCTTGGTATTGACCCATTGACCTTGGTATTAGATACAACCAAAGAGCTGTCGATTATAGAAGCTCAGCATCATTTGAACATCAGGACATGTTCCACTTAACCATCAACTGTCCATTACTGAGAATGGTCAAAGTCACTAAGAGGACTAACAGGATTTTAAGTAAAGACAGTCTACCTCATTGATATCAAGTATTTATTATTCTTCTGCTACATTTAAAAAACCAGGCACAAGGATAAGAGCATACACAAAATTCTAAAAATACAATATCAAGTTGAAAACTTGAATAAAATTATTCTACTTATTAAGTTTGTGTCTGCTTCAAACAAAATTATAGTCCTTACATCAGAACTTTTAAACAGCAGTGAATATTATCAAAATAACTTAGAATAAGATGTAGATGAAATGAGGAAAAAAAAAAGATGTTAAATGCTTCGCCCCTAAGAGAATTGGTTTTATGGCTAAACTTTAAAGGTGCAGGAATCAGGCACTCAGAGTACCTACTGGCTGACTCCAAGAAAAACAGAGCAGGCAGAGATAAGCATAGAGGACAGGAAGCACAGCTACTGCAGCCTGAAGCAGTGATACAAAGGAATGAGGGCATAAAAGAGCCTGGGAATGACAGAAAAGCCACTGTTGGGGTATTGGGGGACACTACGTGACTGCATGCACATACCAAGCACATCAAACTTTATTCGCAGAGGTCCACTGAACTCTATTTAATTATATCCTCGGCGAGGGGGGTAAATTGCTTTCCACAAAAGCATGAAGACCTCAACCCAGATCCTCACATCTATTATAAGGTCACTGTGGTGACAAACGCATGTAATCCCAGTGCTGGAGAGGTGAAGACAGGCAGGTCCCTGGAGCTCAATGACCAGCTAGTCTACCCAGTTAGTGGTACCCAGATTTAGTAAGAGACTGTCTCAAAAAATAACTTAGAGAATAATTGAGGAAGATGGCCAACACTGACCTCTGGCCTTGACATGCAGGCACACATATGTTCATGCACACCCACCCACATGTGCAACCCCCCCCCCACACACAAATACACATTTGTTACTTAAGCAATACCTTATTCACATGTAAGCAACACAGAAATGACTTACACATACCTGAGGCTGTGCCGCAGCATGGTGGAACCCACCAGGCAGATGAAAAAATGCTCGTGATTACATCTGGTGGAAAAAGTGTCACGTTTCTCTGAATCTGAAGCAAATTCAAAACTAATGCAAGGAAGACTCCAATGAAGAAGAGTACCACCCCTCGGATCACCACATTCACATTCTGGCTGGTGACAGAGGAAATGTATGGACCACACTTTTTAGGCCGAGGTGACTCCGTCTCTCCTTCTGCCATTGTTTCATAAGTTCAGTAGGCCTAAGCCGTAAAATAAAGTGAGGCTTCCCAGTAAAAAAGGTAAACTGTGAATTGAAGGAGACCAATGTTTCAATGACACCACATCTTGTCTGAACGTGGGACCTACCAGAAATCCTACAAGAGATAAAAATAAAGAATCAGCATGGGCCTGATATATGACTACACAAGTTTTCACACTTCGGTATTAGCAGAAACAGAATGAAAAAATGAATTTGTACACTAATTTATTTAAATTATTTACTCAATTAAGAAAAAAGCCTTCAAGAAGCCTTTATATGCATGTTGTAAAAAAATCAATGTTGCATGTGTATTTACTAGGACACAACAAGTGACATGAGGGATCTCAGCCAGAGCTAGAGAGGTGGCTCAGCAGTAAGAGGCCATGCAGAGGACCTAGGTGCCCAGTCCCAACATGACAGCTCACATGCCTGTGGCTCTAGTTCCAGGGGAGTTAATGCTATCTTCTGGGCTCTGTGAACACAAGACATGCATGTGATACACATACATATATGGAGGCAAAACAATCATAAATATAAAACACACACAAATCTTTTCAAAGAGGAAGTCGCCTACAATAGGGTCTGAGATGAAAGCTCAGTTAGTAAAGTGCTTACAGCACAAGTATCAGGACCTGAATCTGATCCAAGCACCTACCTAAAAACTCCAGGTGTGCTGCACCTGTGATACCAGTGGTGGAGAAGGGGAGACAATAGGATCCCTCAGGCTCACTGGCTGGCCTAGCTCTGTCTCAAAACCACAGTGGAGAAGGACTAAGGCAGATACCCACTGTCTACCTCTGGCATGCACTGTGCCACTGTGCCAGTAGAGGAAACAGAAGAAAAGCACCAAGAGAATGCAGCACAACCCAGTAACCACCTTTGAGGGTCAGCCTGAGGGTTCATTCACTCCTCTAACTAAACTGACTGCTGGGGTCCAGCGGATATCTCCTCAAGAGACTGCTATGTTGTCAGTTTAGGGCTCACTGCGGAGATGTTGGGAGATGAGACTGGGAAGAGGTAGGAGCTAAACTAGAGGTGAAGGTGGGGTAGATGGGGGTTTGGTACATGCTTATAACAATGATCAAGAATTCAAGGTCACTCTCAACTACACAGAAAGGTAGAGGCCAACCTGGGCTATAAGATATCTTTCAAAAGGAAGGAGACATACACACACCAACAGAATGTTCTTAGGCTAGTTGGGGGCACTGTCCTGGGAGGGAAGAGACTCTGGGATCCCAGGCCCTTTGTTTCCTATCTGGTAATGTGATCTGACCTTCTCAACCACACTCATGCCACCCACTAAGGTCTCACCAGAGCACAGATGATGCTAACTAATCACATCCTTGAATGTCCAGAGTGCTGAATAAAATAAACTTGTTTTCTTTACAAAGTCAGCCTGCTTTCAGTATTTCCTTGCAGTAACACAAATTAATCAGCTAATGCAGCAACCTTTGGTGTGTGTTTAAGATAAGTAATAAGCCTTTGCATGTACTTTTCCAAGCACATGACATGGGCAACTCATTTAACCCCCACAATATCACTAAGAGGATGGTGTAGTGGTACACATCTGTAATCCCAGCACTTTGTAAGTCTAAGCAAGAAGATACAGAATTCAAGAACAGCCTGGGCTGTACAGTTCCCAGCACTTTGTAGGTCTAAGCAGGAAGATACAGAATTCAAGAACAGCCTGGGCTGTACAGTGATACTGTTTCAGAAACTTAAATAAAGACAGTAATAATAACAGCAACAACCCTGAAAGCTAAGTATATTACAAGTGAAGCATAGAAAGGTCACGTCTATGCACCTAGCAAGAAGCATGGATTGAATCAAATCCATTGTCCAACTCCCTTGCTCTCAGCATGATGGTAAGCTTCTCAAAATGCCAGGTCCTTGTTCCCAATACAGGTTTGAAATGTGAAAACACCAAGTAGGCATCTCTTCTGTCATTTAATTTTGTCTTACTCAACTATACTACATCTACACAACTCCTTCACTACATCCTGGGCATATCTGTAAGTCAGTACCTAAGGGGGTATGGCTTATGGATCCTCAACCATTTTAGTGGAATGAAGTTCATTTTATACGTATATGTGAGTGGGCGAGCTTGCCACAGTTCACGAGTGGAGGTCAGAGAACAACTAGTGGAAGTCAGCTCTCGTCTTCCACCATGTGGGTCCTAGGGGATGAAACTCAGGTTGTCAGACTTAGCTTTACTTGCTGAGCCATCTCACACAGACAGAACCTTTAATAGCTAGCTTGTAATTATCTGTAGAGCTGCTTTATAGGATATAAACTTTATGTCAGTCTTATTCACCATTAGCTCTCCACTGTATCTCTCCATGCAGCAAGCACCCTGCTTGGCCCACAGGAGTAGTTGCTCCACATGGCTTAAGCCAGGTTCATTCTTCTAGGATCAAACTCTCTGGGCTCAGCAGTCCTTAGAAAGGTAAATCTAGAACCTAATCATTTAATCATGCCTTTTAAATGTCTACTTCTCAAACTACCTTAAATGCAAAATTTATAACAAAAACTCAATGTCTAAATTTCAGAACAGTGCTTATATATGGTCCACAGCCATATGGGCCCAGCAAAATGGCTCAGTAGGTAAAGGGGCTTGTCACCAAGGCTGATGATTTGAGTTTGATTCCCAGGATTCATATGGTAGACAGAAAGAATCAGCTCCTGCATGTTGTCCTCTGGGCTCTACGTATTATGGCATGTGCATGCCCACATGTGCAAGTACACACATAGACACACAGATACAAAGAATAAATGTAATAAGAAACTTTTAAAGAAATAGCTATTACGAAATATGAAAACCCATAATTTTCAATACCATTTAATGAATACCTAAACAACAGGCTTTTCTTTTTTAAGGGTTTCACAAGCTGGTCAAGGTTGGTCTTAAACTTCAGATCCTCCCACTTCCACCAATCCCTTCTAAATGTAACCCCTACTCCTAGAGCTGAGATTTTATGTGCTACCAAATCTGGTTTGTGCAGTGCTAAGACCCAAACCCAGGTTTTGATTTTTATTCACGGAACCATCTCCCAGCCTGTGCAATAAAAACATATACTACATCAGTGTGATAAAAGATGCTTTAAAGTATAAAATAGCAACAAACAAACAAAATACCTAAAATAGTTCCCTTACATATCGCATGAGACCAATAGTGGACCCTGCTTCCTTGACTACGTAGGCACAGCTATCCTACCCCTCCAAAGAGCATGAGTAATAGAATCAAGAAACCACTTGTTCTGTCTATGCATTTTTCCAAAGCAGAACAGCAACATATACCTTCAGTTCAACACTATTTTTAGAAGGATAAATAACTTTAATAAAGTAGTCTCATCTATCTCCTAAAATAACTGGCCAGAATCTGTCAGAGAAGCCTTGGCACTTAGGTTGGAGTACCCCTTGCTGGGTGGAAACTGTTCTGAGCATGACATATTATTTAGCATCCCTGGCTCCTGCCCACTAAATGCAGGCCTCCCCCACTTGTGATGTCCAAAATTGTACCCAAAGTATTTCCAAACGCCCTGGGGGAGGTTCTGTCCTCCAATGGAGCTGCTGACTGCTGGAGACTTCTTTCCTCATTCTGCTGGTCTACTGAAGACATTTTGGGCTGTTTATTTGTGTTTTCTCCCGCTGCTGTTTATTTGACCTTTCCTGGCAGCCTTTCTTCAGTTTCCCACTTCACCCCCACAAGTTTCCTTTAAAAAAATAACACAGCATTTGTTTCATGTTTATTTGAAGCAGAACCAAAAGACTAAGTGTGGTTATATCATAGCACAATGATATATAATTACCAAGGACAAAAATAAAGGCTACACTACTTCACATCAGTGTCCTAAAATTTTAGGACTGGAAGGGAGCCAGGAGACTATCTATTCCAGGCTATATTTGAGCTTCACGCAAAGGAAAAACAAAAATGTGTATGTGTGCATTTTTCAGAGTTTACACACGTACTCAAAAATTTTCAGTATCCAAAGTCAACTGGATGAGGTGTAGTGGCCCAAACCTGCTGAGTAGGAGCACCCCCAAATTCTATGTAAGATTGGGCTACACAGTAAATTTCAAACCAGCCTGGGCTACTGAGACCCTGTCAGAAAAAAAAACAAACAAAAAGAAGAAGAGTGGGAGGAGGAGTAGGAAGAGGAGAATGTAGAGGAGGAAAAGGAAGAAGAGAGGGACAGAGAGAAGGAGAGAAGGAAGGAGGGAGGGAGGGAGGGAGGGAGGGAGAGGCAGACAGACGCAGGCCAGCCCAATCAACCTAATAGTTCTCTCAGTCACTTTAATAGTGTCACACACAGTCTTCAGGTGATTTAACAAGATCAGGAAAGAATTACTATACTGTGCACAGTGGAGCAGAGATGAAATTCCAGCACGTGGGAGGTGGAGGCAGAAAGATCTGGAATTCAAGGCTGTCTTCAGCTACACAGTAAGTTCAAACCTAGCCAAGGATACATGAGACACTGACTCAAAACAAAACAGAAAACTAGATCTGGGGAGGGAGAAGTCATTTCTGGGCCCTCTTACCACAATAGTAAATATGTACAATAACCTTGTTGCTCAAACACATAGCAAATTCCAGAAAAGTGTTCACTACCTCGTAGACAACAGTGAAGTTCCTTTCCAAAGAAAACCATGTGGGCTGGGGAGACGGCTCAGAGGGTAAAGGAGCCTGCGATACAAGCCCAGCAGCCTGAGTCAGATCCCAGAATCCCAAGGTAGAAAGAAAGGTTTAACTTCTCAAAGCTGTCCTCTGGCTTCCGCATGTGTGCTGTCTCATGCAACCCCTCCTCACCACACATACACTGATGGTCAGTCACAGTAAATTAAAAATTTTTAAATAAAGTTTAAAAAGCACATTTATAATCTTAGCATTAACTAGGATAGTGGGGTATCTTAGAGGCTCTGGGAACAAATACAGCATAATTTATTTTAAAGATTCTTTAGCTATTAACAGTTTCTTAAAACAAATATACCTATTTTTTAAGTATTATTCTTATATCAAAATGAAATTAAGTTCTCTAAAATTTTAATCTTATTGAAAAACTTATATAGTAAAAAAAAAAAAAATTAAGAATACCTCAATGGCTCCTAATGAGTCAA